ATCCTTTCCTAAAATCCAAGTGGAAGGTACCAAGGTTGTCACAAACTATGGGGCTATCGCTCCTTATTTTAACACCTGGCACTACCAAGCTGCTACCAAGACTACTGGTCTCCATCACCTTTGGTGCTGTTCTTCCAAAGCTGTAGGATGCTGTTAAAATCTCCCCTTAGCTTTCCCTTCCCCATACTAAACTAGTCGTGCTCTCTCCATCTCTCCACATGTGTCCTGTGCCTCAGGCCTCTAGAAACCTTGGGAGCTGGACCCTCTCCAATCTCTCCATATCCTTGAGATATGATGAGAGGAGATCTGATTAACATGTATAAATATATGGAAGGAGAATGTAGGGAGGAAGGGGCCAAGCTCTTCTCATTGGTGGCCAGTGACAGGACAAGGGGAAATGGGTATAAGTTGAAACACAGGAAGTTCCATCTCCATGTGAGGAGGAACCTCTTTGCTGTTAGGGTGACAGAGCAGTGGAACAGGCTGCCCAGGGAGGCTGTGGAGTCTCTTTCTCTGGAGGTCTTCAAAACCCACCTAGAAGCCACTATATGCTCTAGGTGTCCCTGCTTGAGCAGGAAGGTTGGACTACATGATCTCTAGAGGTCCCTTCCAGCCTTGAACATTCTGCAACTCTGTGATCCTTCATGAGCTATTCGGAAAGGATGGGACACAAAATGAGACACACTAACTCAAATGCTCCCGTTCAAGCATGGGAACTACATCAAAGAGCAGAAAGGTGTTTGTTTTGCGTTGCGTACCAGCCTTTGACATCGTTCCTTTCTATGCAGAGCCACTGATTTGCCCTGGGGCAAGAGCTTTGTCTGGTGCTCCACGACCGGTCACTGCCATCTCCAGACTCCTGGGAGCAGAGGGCTTCACCAGCTCGCGTTTGTGCAGAAGCCATGCAATCAGGTTTGGAAAAATAGACCTGCTGCACCAGCGAGCTGACGCACGCTGTGCGTGGAACTTTCCATTAGAAACATGTGCATCCTTCTAAAATAATTAGCCTATTAGTTCAGGAAGGGACGAGAAATTACTTACAAATGGCTCCTATGCAAACACTCTGCCCCAGCTTCCCACCTGCCTCTGCTTGGCATTTCCCACCTCACTCTCTGCCAATCGATAAATGCTGGGAAGGGTGGGGGGGTCCTACATGTTTCCAAGGTGGGAACACAGTTCACCATCTCCGAGCCCTCCAGGGCCCCCGTTCCAGCTGGGAGGCACAGAGGCCGTTTCGGAACGGAGGCCGCGGATGCTGGCGAGCCGCCGCAGCAGCTCAGCGCGAGAGCAGGTCCCTCGGGGGGCCTGCGGCCACTGGGAGCCCAGGAAGGAGACAGCAACAAGGAGCAGAGCGCAGACAGACCTCGGCAAGGATCGCATGTTTTCTTTGTTTTTGTTTCTTTTTTCCTAAGCAACTTTTCAAAAAAAAAAAAAAAAAAAAGTTAAAATCTCTCCTACTGCTTTGGAAGCAGCTCCTGTGCTTCCAAACACTCCAGCTGTGTCACTTCCCTGGAAGATCCACTTAGAAGCAAAGGCAAAGTATTTCTGCCATCCTCTTCTCCAGCACCTCTAGAGCGGCTGAGAGTCAGCAGCGTTTGCCTCCCTCCTCCAACACTGGGGAACGTGTGAGCTGGATGGGATGAGTAAAAAATGACCTAATGTGGAGAAGAATCAGAAAATGAGCAAGGAGATGGTCACAGCAATGCTTCCTGAAGGAGCTCACTGCACCCAGGGGACCACAACCACCATTGGAGTTTCCTGTCCTGGCAGCAGCTCAGCTGGGCTCAATTTATTTCCTTGACAGACAGCAGCTGAGTCTGACTCAACGCTGTTTTTATTTTCACTTGAGAAGTGCTTTGTTTTCTCCTCCTTTGCTCCTCCAGATTTTTGTAAGGGCCGCAATGCTGCCTCCCAAGGCAGGGCGTTTTGCTGGGGCAGATGAAATCGCAGCAAGGGCCGCGTTGAGGCCCGTTTCCAGCTGCGCGTGCCCCAGGACTGTGTGGCATTCAGAAGGACACGGGCCCTCAGCGGCATCTCTGCAACCCCCAAACCAGCCCTTTATCAACGTGGTGGAAGCAAAAGTCCCCAAACAAAGCCCAGAGCGGCACCAGTTTGCAGCACCGCTGGGCAGGCTATGGGCAGGATGGGTGTCCTGAGCAGGAGCCTGGCCAGCTCCTGGGCATCTCGGGTACCCAGATATGAGGGTCACATGCCCCCAATAGCCTAAATAGTTCTCTGTGTGCGATTAAGTGACTGGCATAGAAAATCAGCTGCTTCACCGGGGAATTCTTGTGTCTGCAGCTTGATAGCTCGCTGAGGAGCTGTGTTTAGTCTATGGATAGAAAGTAGCCTTGTTGCTATTCTGAGAATATTTGTCCCATCAGGGATCCAAAGAGTTATTTTGCTCTGGAGAAAGCTATATATTTTTTTTTTGGCTAGATTATCTACTCTGTGATGGGTGATTTAAAAGAAAAACAAAAATTAATACAGCTGCAAATCACTGGAGTAGCTGGGGGCACGGGGCACACCTGATCGGATGCCAAAGTTGTGACTTTTGCAAGAACAGGGCAAGATTTTGTGTTGACAGCTGCCCGTCCGCTCTGGGACGAGGGCGGCAGGTCCGCGGGTGCCCCGTGGCCGGGCAGCGCTGCCACGAGCCTTGCAGGCAGCTCCTTGCAGGCAGATGCGACCTGCTCTTGCACCCACTCGTGTTGGAGCAATGGGGGACACCCACGCTGGACATTAGCTCCTTGCAGTAGGTCCATGCTCGCACGTTCGCTGTCACCATCCCGTGGCATCCTCCAAGCCCTCCTGCTGCTGCTCCAAGTTTCCGACCTCCTTCACTCACAGGGCTCCAAGAAGATCATGCAGCTCCTGAGCATGGGGGGCACAAAGCTGCAGCTTCGGTGCCACCACTGGGACCATGCTGAGACTCACACTGCGAGATCCCAGCAAATGCACCAGCGTTAGCATTCCCAGCCGAGCTTTGCTTCCCACTCCCAGCCCTGCCCCTCTTAGAAATCAGAGCACCTTCAAGCAAGCAAGGGTGATGTTTGCAGAGTGACTCAGACCAACTTGAACTGCTGCTAATAAATTCTATTGCAGCAATAACCCAATTTATACCATTAACGTGGGGCTGCTTCCATTTGGTCTGGGCAGTGCCCCCAGGTCACCCTTTCTCTGCTTTCTCTATGCACTGGGGCCTCTGCTCCTTGCCGGGACGGCCCCCGTGGCAGAGCAGCAGTGCATCTTCCAGGACACGCACCAGATCCCTGCAGCACGTGCCTCGAAGCAGCTCCAGTCCCACTGCCTTCCTGCTGGGCAGGTTCAGGTAAGTGCGGTGGCAGAGGCAGCCGGGAGTCAGGCTGGAACAACCCGCAGGAGGGTTGGATGCTGCTGGGAGTCATCGCCGCAGCCCTGGGAGGAGACACTGGACATGAAGCTGAGGTCAAGAGAAGGTGTCAAGTGAAACCCTCCGGATGGGGAAGGAGAAGCGTCAATGGCTCCCTGGGAGCACCAGCCAGCAGCACGGCTGCGTTTCCTCCATCGCACAACCAGCAGCATCTGCTGCAGATGTGAAGAGCTGGCTTGGCCGCAGTGCTCAGCGGGGCTGCAGTGCTGGTGTTCCCGCAGGCAGCATCCCGTGGGACGCCCAGGGACCCTCCGTGCGGGCCGGCCGGGCTCCCAGGAGCAGCGTGGAGCCCCATGGAGCAGCAAGGAGCGGGGGGCTCCTCAGTGCGGAGCCCTGTCCCAGCTGCGGGTCAGGGTCCCGCCACGTGGGTGCTCCCGGCAAGGAGCCAGGCCCCGCTCTGCCCATGGCCGTGCCGCCGAGCCGACCTCGCAGCGCGGGGTGGAGGGCAGGCAGCAGCCCTGGCAGCACACTGCTGGATCCCAAATCCTGCCAGCTGCCGCGGAAAACACTTTCTTGGCTCCCAGCACCCACAAGCAGAGCTGCTAAAGCTCCTGGGGGGCCAACACCAGGTCCTTGGCCACCACCAAAAAAAGAAAAAAAAAAAAAAAAAAAAGAAAGAAGAAAAAATAAGTCTGGTTATCAGGAGCCCCTGGTTCTACATATAGACCCAAAGGCCGGCCCTGGAGCCACCTGGGCCCGCCAAGGGCTGGTGCTGGGCTTGCAGGGAGGCTGTGTTGGCCACCACGTGCCCAGACAGCTCCTGGAGCCCAGATCGGGCCAAGCAGCAGCCCGCGCCAACACCCTGATTGGAGGTGCAGGCACCGCCACAGCCTCCAGGCAGCCCCTGTGGTGCCACCAGCTCCACTTCCCCTCCTCGCATCACCCTCTGGGGGACGCAGCAGGGGAGAGGGGGGATCCCAGCCAGGGCCCAAAGCAGACCGTGTCTGACAGCCCTTCCCCACGAGCCACAGGCCCAGCTGCCACGGAGCTCTGTGACTGGCACACGGGGACAAGGCTGCTCCAAGGTGTGGGCGACAGAGCCCCACGACGGACTGGAAACATCACGAGGACCAAACACGCCATGAGCAGCCTCCACAAGCACTGTGACAGCGAACGCGCTGGTGGACCCACGGGCTTCCTTTGCGGAGCCCCACGGCTGGGGGAGCTCGGCAGAGCCGCGTGGGGTTTCTGCTGCTTCTTTCCTTGGCGCCGTTTGCATCTGTCCCCAGCAGGACTATAAACTACACAGGTCCCTTCTGTTTCTGGCCGTTTCCACATACAGAGGTTTATGCCCTGCTGTGTTTAAATGCTACCTGCAGGAGCAGGCCTGGGAGGCTAGTGCTGGGAAGAGCTTTCCCTGCAACTACGGCCTGCAGCTGTGCCTGGCCCTGGCCCTCAGCCTCGGCGCGTCTGGCAGCGGCTTCACTGCTCAACAAAGCTCTGAAATTCACGGCACGGGATTCTCCGCCCTTCAGCTACGCACATAGCACTACGCACCTCCACAGAGCCAGGCAGCCCGGCTCTGCCAGGGCCGAGCTGCCCGCAGAAACATACCACCAAGAAAAGGCAGGTACAAGAAATTAAATTCTCCTTTTATTTACCTATGACCATGACAATGTATTTTTGCTAGCCGCAGAGATGCTTTGCACTGTAAACTCAGCACCTGGACGCAGGCAGTCTGTCCAGCTTGGCCAGGTTCAGCAATAACCCGCGATTCTCCAAACACACCATCGTTATCCAGAGTAGCGAGAGCGTCTGATTCACAGCGCTGCTGATCTACACCGTCCAACCTCTGTCGTCGGGGAACGATATATACACCAGGCTCCCCCAGCGGCCCGCTGCTAGGGAACACGCCGTTTGTCACATAAAACCTGCAAACTTAGAAAATTTTGTACGCACTCTTAAAAGAGGAGGCATCCGTTCCGCTGGAGAACTCCGCCGAGACACACACAAATATTGCACTTGTAATTTCAGACCAGGGAGGGACACGAGGATTTCCTATTACACAGCAACGTGTCCAGCTATAAGGAGGTCAATAAATAAACCAGGAGGTGAGGGATGGGATTGCAGACGTGCAGCGCAGGGCCCCGCTGCTCCCCGGGGCGAGCGGCCGCGAGCGCAGGAGGCGCCGGCTCCTGCCAGGCGATAGCTGCGTCGGGGCGCGCGGGAGCCAGGCCGGCACGGGGCAGCACAGCAGCCTCGGGGACGTGGGACTGGTCCAGTTCACGAGCCCTGTGTCCGGGGAAGATGTTCACGGTGGAGCTGTTTTCCCCTTGCTGCAGCCCTGCACAGAAGTCCTCCTCCTCCTCACCAGGTCAGGATCCCTCGCCGCTGTGCAGGAGCGCTCACAGCCCAGGCGTGTGCTTCACAGTAGTCTTGTGGGAGCTTCCCTCCTGGCTAAAATCCATGCCAGAGCCACCCCAAAGGCGTCGTACCAGCGATGGTGAGATGGGGGCGATGGAGCAGTACCAGACTGCTTGGTTTGTTGGTCCCCTCGGCCTCACGCTCGGTGCCTTCGCCTGCCTCATGCCCGGCTGCTGCAGGAATATGGCTTGGGGCACGAACACCAGCAAGAAGGCAAGCTCCGGCCCTCTCCCAGGAAGGCCAACACCACCCGATTCCATGTAAACACACAGTTCCCACTGCCCCGAGAGAGTCCTTGGGTCTACAGTGGGGAGCTGGCTTTCTTCTGGTTAATTATGTCTAAGTACAAGTCAGAGCGGAGGAAGCGGGGGTAGGAGTCCTTCTCCATGAGCCCATAAATCCTCTTCTGAGCGAGGTCGAAGCAGCTGCGGGTGATGTTCTGCAGGTTTTCCTTGGTGTGCTCCCGGGTGTAGGAGTCCAGGTTCACCTGCAGGGCAAGAGACGAGCCCGGTGAGCGGCTCCCCGAGCAGCCACCGAGGCCCGGCCATGCAGCCAGCTGCCGACCGCAGGCACTCGCTGGCAGGGCCCTGATGAAAAATGGCTTTGGGGAGAAACCCCTCAAAAAAGCAAGTGTGAGCTACAGAGAGCTGTCCCGCCCCGCACACTGCACTCGCGCTCTGCAGGGCCACCACAGCAGGTTGTGCCACCATCTACCACAAGGACTTGCCAGGGAGGTGCAGCTCCTGTCGTCTGCAGCGACGGGAGACGCCGGCAAAGGCACCGTGAGGCTTAGCTGGTCCAAGCCACCCTCAGCAACGTGCGCACCCAGGTCCAGGCCTGCTGGCACAGGGCCGTGGTGTAAACCCAGCACTGCACAAGAGCCGAGCGTCCCTGCTGTGCCCCCCAATCCCCAAGGGGGCCCAGGACGGCTGAGGTCCCGTGGCTGCCCTCACCTCCTTGCAGGACTGGATGGCAATGTACTCCGCAAAGATCTTCTTGGCTTTGGACACCATCTTGGACTGCGATTTGATCTTTTTGTACTCTTCGCACGCCAGCCAGAACTCCAGGTTCTCCTCGCTGAACTCGGTGCGCAGGAAGGCCCTGAAGGCTGCTAGCCCATCTGCAGAACAGGCACATCGCTCTAAGTCCACGGGAGCAGCCTCCACTGAGCCCCCCTCGAAAGCCGCAGCCTGAAACACCTCTTTCTGCCTTCTCTTGGAAGCTCCCGGGGAGCCCATGGCTGACCTTGGCTTCTCAAGGCACCACGCACAGAGGAAAAGGGCAGCCTCATGTCTAGCCCTCTTGCACCCCCAAAATACCGGATGGGATTAAAACAGGAAATCCCAACTTTCCCTATTTCCTGAGGAAATGCCCCCATCCCGATATTCCCCTGGTGGAGAACAGAAGAGGAAGAGGAGGACACTCACACTTGTGAAGCAGCAGTTTCTCCAGAGACTCCCCCCATTTGAGAGCTTCCTCTGGCGTCGGCCTGCGAGAGAGAAGGGCTGCACGTTGGCACGGCAAAGCAGCGAGAGCGACAGGAGGAAAATCCAACATAAACAGAGCTCCGAGCTGCTTGGGACATCCCAGCCAGCAGCAGGAAACCCTGAGCAAAGCCCAAGAACGGGGCCACAAGAGCTGAGCTGGGCAGACCCGGGTCCGCGGGCAGGCCCCAGCGCCCTGGGTCAGAGCCAGCCGTGCCGGGGACCCTGTTGTGGGCGGCCTCCCCACTGCGAGCAGGAGCTCCCCTCCCGGCGCGTGCAGGGCCGCGCGGGCCTCGGGGCGCAGGGACACCGAGCGCCAGGCTGCTGGAGCGTCTCCAGCCAGAGATGGTTTTGCAAACCATCCTACAGCGACTCGGATTTTACGTGCGGGCGCTGAGGGAAGGCAGCCACGAGGGAAATTTCCATCTCTTCCCAAAGGCTGCGCTGCCTCTGGAGAAACCATTTGGAGCAAAACTGCCTGAAAAAGGCTCCTGAAAAAGGCTCCTGCAAAGAGTGGAGCTGCTGGCCCACAGGCTCCCCGAGCCGCCCAGCCAGGAGGCTCGTCCCGCACGCGCAGCAAGCTGTGCCTCCCGCTCGCGCTACCTACTTGAGCGACTTGAGCACTTTGTCCAGCTTCCCGCTGGGGTGGCCTCCCGGAGACTCATTCCGCCGCCGGAAAATCCCCAGGCGGTTCTTCATGTCCTTGGCTCTGAGCGGGGGCAAGAGGAAGGGTTAGTAGTCACGCGAGGTGGCCGCGGAGCTCGCGCCCCAGGGACCCGCGAGCAGCAGGGGCTGCGGCTCGGCCCCAGCACCTACTCCTTCATGGTGTGCCGGCGCTGCAAGCTGCCGTTGTGCGGCCGCTGCACACCCAGCAGCATCTCCGAGTGGAACTCCAGCGGCTGCGGCTTGGAGAGGTCCCGGAAAAAGGGCATAGCGGCGGCGCCGGGCAGGGGCCTCGCGCGGCGGCCGGCCCAGCCAGATGCTCGGGCGCTCTGACGCCGGCTCCGAGCCGCGCTCCCGCTCCGGGCCGGCCGCTCCGGAAGTGGGAGGGCTCAGCCCGCAGGAGCTTTAAATGCTGCCTGGCGTGAAAGAGCCATGTGTGAGTAAGGGCTGTGTCAGCGCCCGGCCTGGGCCGCGCGGCTGCTCCGCACGGCTCCGACGGCCGTTGCTGGGGTAACCCGGCCCCGGGTGGAAAATCCAGCACCCGGCAGGATAGTGGGGCCTTTCAAGAGCCCGGGGGTGGAAAACAAGCCCGGCAGGGATTTACGAGCGCTATTTATGGAGCCCGGGCGGCCGCAGGAATGTGGCGGCCAGGCAGGGGTTAAGGGCTGCGCTCGCGGCGCTGGGTGCGACGCTGTGGCTGGGCCGAGGGGCTGCTCCCCCATCGGGGCCACCGGGAGAGGCTGCGAGGAGGGCGCTTGGACACGCGGCACTGCTGGGCCCGAGCCCTTGGCCCAGCTTGGCCACGTGCGGGAGCTGTGGGAAGAGTCATCCTGGACACAGGGCTCCGAGATCCCCCAGGCACGAGGACTTGGGTGGGGAGCACCCAGTGGGACCCCCTGCTCAGCCTCATGGGCAGCGTGAAGGCTTTGGAGCGGCCGCGGCAGCGCTGCAGGGAGGGACAAGCGGCGTCGGGCGAGGAAGGGCGCGGGCGATGCTGTCCCCTCGTGGCACCGCTCCCGCATGACACGGGGCACGGAGGCGGCGCGGGGACACGTGTGGCACGGCGGCACCTCGAGCCCAGAGAAGGCAGCGCCGGGACACACGCGGTGCCCAGGGCCACATCCAGACCGCACCTTGGCTCCCACATGCACCACTTGGCTGCACGCGGGGCTGCCCATGCCCACTGCAGCCCGCGGGACACACACAGAGCTTGGCCGCAGCTTCGCGGCCACCTCGTCCCCACCGGCTGCCACCAAGCACAACCGTGCGAAACGCGGAGCCAAAGTCAGGAGTCGCCCTCCACGAACACCACCTGCCTCCCATTCCCCTGCCGCCCGCAACGCCGCCACGTGGGACAGCCCCAACCCCTCCACGGGGCAATCGGAGCGGCGTTCCCAACATAACACATCCCACTCAGGTTCAACATAAGACTTTAAAGCAACGAAAAGCGCCTGCGTGTGCGCAGAGAGGCAACACACGTGGGCTACTCAGGTGCCATTCAACCAGGTAACCCTAAGGTGCGTGGGTGCTGGCAGCAGGACCGGCTCTCAGACAGCCCTGCTGCTGCACGGGCAGCACCTGCACAGCTCTGCAAGCGCCCGAGGAGCAGTGCTCACTGCGCTCCCAAACCACAGCAAACAGATAACCCCAGCGCTCGTCTGGGCCACGCGAGCTACGGGAGTACAAAACGCACCGGCAAAAACGCTGCAGTGCCAGGAGCCACAGGGCTCCGTGGGACAGAGCGAGGCCGCGGCCCGCCCCTCGCTTCCTGCCTCTCATCCTACCTTTCCAGGTACCGCTCGGAAAAGTCCACCATGGTGTGGTACATGGGGAGGCGTGCGCTGGTGCCGGCAGCGGAGGCGAGTGCCAACGGCAGCTACTTGCACCATAAATAAATAGTGGTGGCGGCGGTGGCGCGAGCCAATAGCCGGGCCGGGCGCGCGGCGCCGCTCCCCGGCGCATCCCCGGAGCTCTCAAGGTGAGCGGAGGGAAAAACACCCCCCCGCAGCCGCCTCCGACCCCCGGAGCGCCATGCGGGACCGGGCTGCAGCCTCCCTCCCAGCGCCTCTCCGGAGCTGCAGGCACGCTGCGGGGGGGCAGCGTTCCCCTCGAGGATGGGAAAGGATAATTTTAATTCCAAGTGTGTGGGGGGATAATAACAGGAGCTAAGAATATCCAGCGGCAGCGGTGGCTCGCGGGGCAACAGTGCCGCTCGCTGGCAGCGCGCGCAGCCAGCGATGCTCACACGGGCCCGCTCGGCGCCGCGGGCAGCGAGCGCATCCTGCCTCTGCTCACTGCTATAACGCCCTGCCAGGGGACACAGCCCCTCACGCCTCCGTCCCCACCGACCGGTGGCTGCGCTGGCGGGGACGGAGGCCGCACCCACGTCCTTGCAGCACCCGCCGCAGGAGATGCTCTTTAGGGTGCCGGCCCACAGGGTGGGGTGGTCCCTGAGCCAAAGTCAGACGAGGAGCAAGGCCAGGCGTGGGGCTCAGCCAGCGCCAGGATCGGCCCGTCGCTCCAGGCTGCTCTATGGGAGCCCTTCCTGGTGCTGCGGATGCTCCCCGCTCCCTGCCACGCAGGACAGCAGGAAGGAGGCCCCGGCACGCAGTGCAGGCTGCTGCGCGGCCTCTCCCTCCCCACAAGGGCTCCCCAGCCCACCCAAGCAGTGGCATCATCCTCGCGCCCATCCAAAGGTGGGCCACTGCCTCCTGCTCTGCCCTCCCCCTGGAATTCGGGACCTCCCCAGTGAGATCCTAACCCATTCCCACCACCACCTTGTCCTTTTCCTTGCAAAGCTCGGGAAAAGGGGATGCAGAGGGACGCTAAGGCACGGGGCTGAGATGCTTATCCCCAAAAGCACAAGGAGCTGATACGACTGGACACTTACAGACTTTTGCTCCTCTTCTTGCGGAGGGTCTCGTCCCCTTCATCGCAGCTGCACTCGGCGTCCGCTCCACTCAGCTGTAGGGGACACAGAAGATGGGTGGGTGTCATGGGGGCCCGTGCGCAGTCTCCAAGGGCTGCCCAAGCGCCCACCAGCACGGCACGCTGCGCTCCTGCTGGCACCAGCACCCTGGCATGCCGCACAGGGTGCCTGTCACCCCCTCACCCCATTGCCAGCAGGTGCCAAACGCTCCTATTGCCGGGGTCCTGCAAGGGTCCAGCTCCCTTCCTGGGGCTCTCCCAGCCTGCAGTGCCCCACGTCTGAGCAGGGTCAGGCCGGAGCCACCTGCAGCTCCCCCCAGCACCCCAGAACTTGGTGCCACCGGCCATGCAGGGAGCACCGGGGCAGTGCACAGAGGACTGACAGCACCACGGCGGCCTCCAAGCCCCGGGAGCACCAAGCAGGCTACTCATTCCCACCACTAACACAAGGCAGCCCAGGCAGATCGAGGAAACGCTGGAGGTGACACCAGGCGGGAGGGTGTCAGGGCAGAACTGCCCCCCCCGTGAGGGCAGAGCAGGGTTCGGGTGCCCCTCTGCCCACCCCTGCTCCAGCCCCTCTGTGCCGCCAAGCACGGCCGGGAGCCGCCGGTGTCCCGCAGGGCCCCGCATCGCCGCCGGGACATGGGCGCTTTCCAGGAGCGCCAGCCCACGCCGGGGCCGTGGGAACCCGCGGAGCGGCCCGGCCTCCCGCCTCGGGACACTTCCTTCCATTCTGCGCTTGCCTTTCCGGAGTTTATCGGGCCTGAACAATGCGAGGGCCGCGAGCCGCCTTCCGCCGCCAGACGGGCCCCGGGCAGCCCGCGCGCCCGCCGCTTCCGCCCATTGTCCCAGCGGCTCCGCTGCCCGCGGGGACCACCGGCCTCGGCACTCGCGGCCCCGCGGGGAGAGCGTGGCCTGCGGCGCTAAGGGTGCCAGCGAAGCAGGAACCCTCCGAAGTGCACCGGGGGATGGGTGGCCCCACCGCTAAGGCCACCGGGTGCTGCAGTCGCGTACAGAGCCGGCGCTGCCGCCAGAGGGGATTCTCGAGGGCAGCGCGTGGCCTTGTGGTGTCTCGGGGAATGTGATAAAGTGCATGTCCCTCCCGCAGCGCCTCCGAAAGCCCTGCCGGGGCTGGCGAAGGCCAGTGGGCAGACATGGGGGCCCAGGCACCCGCACGCCGTCCTGCTGCTCCATGGCTGTGCTCTGCCTCCGGGGTGCCCACCGAGGAGCGACTCGTGCCACAGGACAGTGTGCAATGGGCTGGCCAAACAGCGGCCCTCGGGCTGCTGCCCCAGCCGCACGAAGCACGAGGCAACCCCGCTGTGATGACAGCCCAGACGGGCCCTAGGGAGTCGCCTGTAGCGCACGTGGCCACAGCAGCACCGCAGCTGCCCTGGGACACAGGACCCTGCACAGCCCCGGGCTGCGCGGCGAAGCCTTGAACAGCACAATGCAGCCCCGAGCCCTGCGACGCAGCCCCGAGCCGCGACGCTGCCCCAGGCCGTGCAGTGCAGCCCCAGCGCATGCGGCGGCACCCCAGGCCCCACAGGGTAGCCCTGGGCCATGCAGCGCTGGCCCAGGCCGTGCTGCCCCAGGCCACGCAGAGCTGCCCCAAGCCGCACCGCGCTGCCCCAGGCCGTGCAGCCCTGTGCGGCCAACCCGCCAGCCTCAGCTTGCTGTGCAGAGCAGAGTGCCTGGGGGAGGCCGGCAGCCGCTCTCAACCCACCCAGGGTTTCAGCCAGGGCAGGTGGGACAAACACCGCTTACCCCCCGAGCTTCGCCAGTGCGTGGCCGCTTCTTGTGGGACACAAGTGCAACGAGTCTGGAGGCCGCATTGGGAGCCATGGAGCCCCACACATGCCCAGGCAAACAGGCCTGAGATCCTATGTGTTGCCCAGAGCTGGCTGCTAGCAGCACAGGAGCTGTGGACAAGCCCTGCTGCCACAGATGGCTGGCGCTGGCACCCCCGGCACGGCTCATCACCCATCCAGGAAAGGCCTTAACAGAGCCCTGGGTTCACCCCGTTCCCTCTCTCCCCCACAGCAGGTTTTTGGCTCCAGGCCACAGCGCAGGGAGGCATCACCAAAGACACATCCTCAGCTAGAGAGAGTCGCAGCCCACTAGCCCACACCCCTTCCCATGCCCAGCAGCAAGCCCGGATGCTCCCCCATCCCCATGGATCCCCGCAGCAGCTGGCACCTGGCTCACGTACCTTCCTGTGCGCCGAAAACAGCAGGCTGAGCTGGTGGATGGAGCCGCCGTTCTTGGCGAGTTCCTTCTTAAGGGTCCGGGGCGAGGGCAGGGCCCAGTGGCCCTTGGCGGCCTGGCTGTCCGAGCAGTTGAGGGTGGTGTCGGAGGTGAAGCAGTGGCCCTTGGCCTCCTGCAGCAGGCTGCCCTCGCTGTGCGTGCGGCGCCGCAGGGAGCTCTGCACGCTCAGTGTGTACGCGGCCTGGCAGCCCGACGTCTCGATCATGCTGCTGCGCTTTGCCTCGTTCCGCTCCAGGTAGGGCTCGTCGCTGTCCTCATCCTCCTCCTCATCATCATCCTCCTCATCGTCATCCTCGCCATCTGTGAGGCCGCCTCGTGGGGCCGCCGCGCTCTGGCTGAAGGTGCTGTCGAGCCGCAGCTCGGGGATGACGAAAGCTGGCGTGGAGCTGGGCCGCCCCTCGGCCCTCTCGGCGGCCGGGGGCAGATTCTCAGTGGGGAGAGGCCCCTGCGCAGGCCCCAGAGCCGCCTTGGGCTCGGACCCAGCTGCAGCCTCTGTGGCCGGGGGAGCGTCTCCTGCTGCAGCCTTCCCCTCCCCGGCGTGCATCGGCCCTGCCTTCTCAGCGTCCGTCTCCAGCATCTGCTGCAAAGACAGAAGAGAAAAAATAGGGATGAAAATGGGAGCAGCCCAGGTCTCTTCCTGACCACGGGCCATGGAGCCACTCTGCTCTGCTAGCCCCAAGGCCAATCCATGCATCCCAGCAGCGGGTGGCGGGTGCCCGTCCCTCCCAGGGCACCCAGTGCCCATCCCTGGCCCACAGAACGGCGACTTGGGGGCCCAAGGAGACCTGTGACCACAAGGATCCCAAGGAGCCCCTGGGCACCCCGCAGACACAGGCAGCACCACGGGAGAGGGTTTGGAGGCAGCGCAGGCTGCGGGGGGCACCACGGCAGCACAGCAAACGTGGCGAGGCTCGGCAGCCCGTGGGAGAGCTGGCCCCGCCGCCCGCACCCCAGCGCACGTGCCCAGCCCGCAGCCACTGCGGGGCCTCGGCCCTGCAGAAACAGCACCCGGGCTGCTGGCAGGCGAGGCTGGGAGCAGACGGGAAACCAGGAACACCCATCGCGCTGCTCCGGCCTCTCCTGCCCCGCGGCAGGGAAACACAAGGGGAAGCACCAGCCTCTGTGCACCCAGGGCCCGGCCCTGGCACCACCACCGCACCAGCCCGTTCTGTGCACAGGGATTCCTCCACCTTCCCATGGAGACGCGGCCCCGCTCGCCAGCCCCTCCAAGCCTCCCATCCCAGCCGGTGCACTCAGCCCTCCCACACTGTGGAGCCCGTTCCCGAAGCAGCTGTTTGCATCCAGCTGCCAGGGCCTGCCGGAGAGGCAGCCCCGCGGCTGGGTCACCCCCAGGGCAGCCCGGGAAGGAGCCGGCCCGTACCGGGCTGGCCTGCGACCACCCTGGCCGGCGGGTCGCGCTGCCTCGCTGCAGCCAGCCTTTTAGCAGCACCTCACCTGCAGCCCCAGCAAGCCGAGGTCAAAATTCCCATGTCCACGGGCCTCTTGGCAGCTGGTGACCAGGCCGTGACACCCAGAACCACAGCCCGTCCCACCTGCAGCACCCGCCCCAGCACCCGGCACCTTTGCGGGGCTCACGGCCAAGGCTGCGTCCTTGGCACCCTTACAATCCCATGGTCATTTCTTGTAAAAAGGAGATTCTTCCAGACTTGTCGTGCAAGGATGCGATTTGCACCAATGTTTTATTGATTCAATTTATATGTTATTTCTCTCACCATCATTATCTGCATTATTGCATGAAATAATTATAGGAAAAACACACATGGCCCTCGTGGCCTCGCTGCAAAGCCCTTGCCCCTCCCTGACAGCCGCCTATCTGTGCAGCCCTTCAGCTTCATCTTGCTGCTTGCCCCCATCAGATAAGGCCCTTGAAGGAAATGAACAGGCTCCTTGAAAATGAGAGACATTTTTGGATTAAATTAAATCTCTGTGCTAATTCAATCAGAGAACCTGCTGCTCTTCGGCAGTGCGGAGCAGGAGCCTTGGCGCCCAGCAAGGTTTCCAGCTCAGGCTTCCAACAGCGTGGGGCTGTGAAGCCCCATCCTCACAGCAAGGGCAGGGGCCCGGGGCGCCGCTGCACGCGCTGGGGACCTCCCTGCCACGCAGCCGAAGGTGCCCTTGCTTGGCAAGGCGTGCAGTCCTGCTCTTGGCTCCGCTGCGGAGGTGCCCCTGGAGCATCCCCTACCATGAGCACCAGGACCTACAGTCGCTTCAAGCAGATGTCCCCTCTCCACAGCAGTCTGTCCTGGGTCTCCCTGTCCTCACCCACGAGGTCTAGAGGCTCTTCTGCATCGTTCTCGGAGGTAAACACGCAGCTCCAATGTGGCACAAGATCCAAGGACAGGAGAAAGTAGACAAAAACCCAGCCTTGAGCCCCAGCACAGCTTTAGGGGTGGCCTCAGGAAAGCAGGAGCTTTGCTGTGAGATCAGTGGACGGGCAGAGAGCTCCAGACCTGCTGCCGCTCCTCTGCCTCTCCCAGCCTCTCCAAGCAGATGCTCAGAGGACAGAATCACTGCGTCAGGTCTCAGCAGCGGGTGCACAGGAGAAGGCGCAGGGTGTTCTCCTCTCCTGCAGAGAGGCGGCCACGACCATCACAGTCTCCACTGGGCTCCAAGTCTTCTCCAGTTGGCCATGAAGAGGTGCTGGTTAGAGCAGGGTGTTAATCTCGGTCTGATTTAGCCCAGTTTGCCTCAGTGGAGTCCCTCTGGCTTTACATTTGAAGGATGAAATGATGCTTTTCCCAGCCTTGCAGTGGCCCCGGGGTTTTGCCCGGATTCCGCTCGTCCTCCTTGTTCAGATTCCGTCCCGCTCTGTGGAAGGCATCGTTCACTGCATCAAAGGCCCTCCTGCAACCAAGACAGGGCAGAAGTGCAAAGCACCTGCTCCTCAGGCTGTAATTAGATCAATTTTCTCGGGTTGCTGCTGCTCTGACGCCAGCAGAGCAACCAACAGCCTCAATTGCATAATTATGAATATATATATAAACAACAATAAAGCATTTCCTTAGGTGATGTGCCCCGTCTGGTGGCCACAGCTTGGGACTTCCAGCTGGGGAGGCTGCACCCCAGCTACGCCATGGCCAACGCTGGCCCGTCCCAAGTGCCCGGCACTCAGGTGCTGTTCCAAGTGCCCCAGCACTCGCAGCCCCCCTTAAATCTGCAGCTCTGGGAAGCCAGAGGGTTTTTCAGGATTACTTGAGGCTCTCCCGATTTTGGAAGTTATGCTCCCAGCGGTCCTGTCCACACAAACTCTGTGGCTCAAAAGCAGAGCTTGGACACGAGAAACCTGGATTCTGGCTTTCCTAGCTTTTGGAAGCTTAGGGAACCCAAGCTAGTGGATGCTTAGGTTTTACAGCTCCAATTTTTTCTTGCAAAGCTACAGGTGAAGGAGGACTTAAGATACTTAGGAGACTTGCAGCACCCTGTGCTCAGGAGACTCTTCAGCCAAATTCAGGAATTCGGGAAAGGAGCAAGACCGCAGCAGATAACACTGGAGCCGAGTGTGAGAGCCAAGGACACGGCACGCAGACCGCAAGGCCGGGAGCCGCAGAGGCGGCCACCACCTGAGCCGGCTGCCCTGGACGGCAACGCCACACGAAGGAGGTGCCACCCCGGCACCCGTGGGTGGCCTCAGCCTGCAGGTAGCAATGACTGCTCACCACAGAGCCTCCTGTGCAGCGCGAGGCAGGGCTGCATCCCACAGCTCTCCCGGGATCCTGCTGCTCTCCTTTGCCATCCTCAGGCTGAACGCGATAGCCCAACCAGCCACATTCGTCATTTGTCCTAGGGGGGAATGTCACTAGCTCCAGCTCCTCTCAAATCTACCTTTACCTGAGGATGCTCCCTCCTCATGTGCTCCAAAAAAAAGGATGGGAAGGAGAGCACATCCTCTCCAGGGGGATTTGGGGAGGACATGGTGGGCAGATGAGGATCGGCAGCAACCCTGGCGTTGGCAGTGATGGGCACAAAGGGCACATCCCTCCTGCAGACAGTGCTTCCGCGGGACGAGAGTGCACATCACCCAGGGAAACACCAGCATTCCCAAGGGAGGTATTTCCAGCACGTGAGAGAAAAAAAAATCCTACTTTGATTTTTTTTCAGGTCAGACTGTGCCCACATCCAGAAAGCCACAAACAGCCCCGTGAAGCGCTACCGACCCTGCGAGCGACGAGCACCCCGAAACTTGTAAGAGACCCTTTGCAACAGACTAAACACGTGGCAATAGAAAGCAGCATCAAACAAGTGCTACAAGGGTCAAGAGGAAGGAAACACCACCAAAAGTCAAAGCAGAGCTCTAGAAAATCAAGAAAAAATGAGTCCAAGGCAGTTTGCAAGCATGGCCCTCGGGCTCCTCGGCGTCCCGGGGCAGCAGTGCAGCGCTGAGCTGGTGGGGGTACCAGGATGCCAGCGCTGAGTGCTCAGCAGGATACGGCCCTTGGGCACCGCTGCTCCCACAGGCGCTCGAGGGACAGGGACGGGGCGGAGGGGAGGTGCAGGAGGCCAGGGCGCCGCCGCACGCAGGCCGTCACACCAGCTCCCTGCTTCATTACCGGACCCATGAATAATTGATCACTAGCAATTAGCGCAGCAGCAAAAGCGAGGCCTGGCGGCTGATACTGAGGAGCCGTGTGCCGTGGGGCTGCGGCAGGGCAGCCGAGGCTGGGGGGCGGCCACTGCTACCCACCGGATCGCGCTGCGCCCCAGCCGGCCCCGAGCCCTGCAAGGAGACAGAGTGCTCGGCAGGAGGAAATGATCCCATGTCAGCAGCCGGCGCTAATCCCATTACCCTGTTACCGTCATCCCCAATTGATGGCTCTGGAAATCCGGCTTCAGCAGGGTATGGTCCGGCCCGGCACCGCAGCCATCACGCTCCGTGCCGGCCGCAAGGGTGACAAGCCACCCTGTGCTGGGTCCCACAGCACTGCCAATAGCTGTCGTCGGGTGAATCCCACCTTGTGCTGCCAATTTAAGCTTTTTTTTGGCCCTTTCAGGTTTAAATCCCTCTGGTGAGGCTGCCAGGGCCAGGGCTGGGCTTGGGATGGCACTGGCTTCCTGTCCAGCTCCAAGAGAAGCCGTCTGTCCCTTGTAGGACCACGAAGCAGGAGCTGCCGCCACAAGGGTCTCACAGGATACTCGAGGGCGCCGGGTGCTTTCGGACTCAACCCAAAGTTGCCCAGGGAGAGAGCCCTCCCGCAGCCCGGGGCGCTGCCAAGCCGGCACGTCCCCAGTGCCGGTGCTAACGACCGCACGGAAACCCCCGTCCCGCGGCACCGCTCACCTGCAGGGACCTTGGTGTCCCCAACCCCTCCTGCTCCTCCATGCCCCGAGGCTGCCGGCGCAGCCTCTCCGACGAGACACCTGCTGAGAGCGGCCGCCCCTCGGCTGGATCCCGGCGGCAGGGACTGAGCGAGCAGCATCCCCGGCGGCTCCGCGGACGCAGCGCCAGCCGCTGCCTGCGCCGTTATTAATGTCCGTGTCAAGCGGCAGCGGGAGACGCCCCGGCCGCTCCCCAGACGCCGTGGCCTCTATTTATGGCTCCACTGGCCTCCCCCGAAGGCACCACCACCAGCTGCCCAAAGCGCCCGGCCGCCGTGCCGGGAAGGAGACGTGTGCGGAGCCCCGGGCTCACCCTGCCCCGGCAGCAGCACCGAGCTCTGCGGTTCCCGCTAACTGAGACACGGCTGCAGGTCTGCAGGCGTTTTTTTCCACTCTGCAACAAGCAGGGATGGGATTTAAAGGGAGGAAAACTCCCTGAAAAGAGGTGCTCGGCCCCAGCAATGCCACTGTCCCAAACAAACGGGAGGCGCGCTGCCTCCCCACGGCACTCTCCGTGCTGAGCGCAGGCCCCGCAGCGGTGCCTGCCCACAGCACGGGGTGCAGCGGCCACCACTCGCCCATGGCTGCCTGCTCAGTGGCCAGGCTCCAGTCTTGCCCACCCAGAGAGGCCGGGACCCAGGAGTTCGTCTGTGCCGGGTGACGCTGCCTCGGGTGGCTGGAAGCTCACGGAGACAATGTCCAGCTTGCAAACAAGCCCCACGGCTCTGCCTCGGGGGAAGAGGCAGAGTGATGGCAAAGAGGAAGGCAGGAAGGAGCATATCCCACCATCCGCAGCAGGGCCGCCGGCTCGGAGCAGCGTGCGCAGCAGAAGAGCTGCCATCAGGACGTGGACTATAGCAGGTGCTCCTGTGCTCCCTGCTCCAGCCTGGCCCGACCCTACGGAAAGACCTGGCTCTTTCCCCTATCCTGCTGAACCCCACGGTCACATCCTAAGCAAGGAGACCCCGGTCACTCCTGGCAGACCCCAGCACAGCCCCACGAGGGCCGTGCAGCCACAATGGGCCTGCGGTGCCAGTGCTCAGTCCACAGACCACCACAACCTGCGCTGCCAGAGGGGACGTGGGGCGGATCCAGAGCAGCGTCCCCACCACGTTACCTGCCGGAAAGCAGCACACGACAGGAGCAGAGCGGGGGCGGAGTGGCAGCCCAAGCCAGTGCAGCAAGACCCTGCAGAATCAATGCCAGCGTTTGCTGCCATCACAGGGAACAGCCACCTTGAGGATGAGGCTCCAGCACGGATGCTCCGCCTGGGACCGACACCAGGAGCAAACCCATACAAAGAGCCAAGAAACCCGTGCAGTGCCGAAGGGCCCATGGAGGGGTCCCAAGGCACGTGCACATTCCGAAATGTAGCCATGAAGCCGGCTCATCAGGAAGGTGCCAGGGCACAAAGCTGCAGTTTGCAGCGCCAGCAGCAGCAGGGCCGAGCGGCGCCCGGGCCCCGAGCGGTGCCCGCCGCGCCGAGCTGCCCCGAGCGGCGCAGCCAGGGCCCAGCCACCGCAGAGCCGCCCCGCGGGGCCCGCGCCGCTCAGGGGCCCGGCTCAGTGGGACCCAGCCTCAGCCCAGAAGCGTTGCCACAACATCCCAACACCCCGTGCCCTGCTTTTGGGGTGGACGCGTAGAGGCCCCTTGTTGCTCTCCTGAGAGCTTTGGTGTCACCCTGAGCCTCCCACCACACTCCCGCTGCTACCCACGAGCCCTGCACCCAGCAGGGATATTGGGACTGGGCTGGAAACCTCCCGGGTGCCGCAGGGGATGTGTTACCCCTGCACAGGGCACAGCAAACTGCAGCGCTGCCTCCGGCTTTGTTGGGGCGGCCGAGGAGCCTGGAGGAGGGCGGCCCGGCCCTTGGGCTACCTCAACAACGGGCTAAGGGCCGCCGAGCCTCCCGTGCCAGCGCTCCAGCTGGCACAGCCCCCTCCTGGGGCAGAGCTACTGCCTAGGGGGACAGGGATCCCTTGGGCGATGGGGAGAGCGGGGCTCAGGACCCGCCTTGCTCGCTTGGGGCCGTTCTGCAGGGAGCCACGGGGGTGAGAGCTGCCCCGGCGCCTGCCGCAGCACCCGGCCGGCCCTGCTTTCAATCACCCCTGGCTCGGCCGCCCTTTGCGTTTGTTGACAGCTCATTTACTTGCACCTGTCAAAGGGGCTGTAAATAGTGAGAGAAACAACCGTACCCTTCCTGCCAGCAGAGAGGGGCAGGAAGGGGCCAGCTGGGCGCCCGCAGCCTCGTGCGCCCGGCACTGCGGCCAGCAGAGCACCCAGGGGGCTGCACCAGCTCCCTCTAGAGCGGGAATCCCACATCCCCACCATGGAGCATCCACCATTTTTCAGCCTTCAGGATAAACCCGTATCCCTCAGCTAGAGCCATCAGGCATGAGGCAAGCACAGGTGGCGGGAAGGGAGAGCAGCAGCCATCCCGCACGTGGAGCCAGCGAGAACGCAGGCAGCTGGGGCGGGTCGTGACCATCAGGCTGCTGTTCCTCAGCTCTTCTGCCGTACACACCGCAGCGCTGGCGCCCCGTCCTCACTCCCGCGCTGCCCTTTGCTGCTTCTTGGCCCCTGCTAATGCCATGCACCGTGGGGCCGGGCTGCACCAGCAGCCGCTGCTGCAGTGCCAGGTTAAAGAAAAAAGCACCGAGCTCCGGGCAGATGGCGGGATCTGGCCCAAGGAGCAGCCTTGCTAACTCAATTGGGTCGCAGAGCTCCTTCTGCTGTAATCACAGCACCGTGACCGTGCACAACCCACACCCAAGGACACCGCTGCACCCCAAGAAAACACCCGCAAGCCCTCGTGTGACACGGATGGGATATCATCCCTTGGCCCCAAAGGCAGCTAACAACTGCTCCGGTGGGAGCCCACAGCTACGAGACTCGGCGGGTCAGCAGCTCCTGTGCGAGAGCCCCGCCGGGCCCAGCCCCTGTGCCACCCTCTGTGCTGCAGCCCCAGCACAACGGCCTACGCGCACTGCCCCCGGCACCAAGCTGCCCCGGGGGCCAAGGGGAGCTGCCCCGGGGGCCAAGGGGAGCTGCCCCGGCCGTCGAGAGCGCGCTCGCTGCCGGACAGGGCCCCTTCATCTGTGGGCAGCGCGCGGCCCCTCGCTGCGCTGCGCTGCTTGCAGCGACCTCACCCACCGCGCTCGCCCCTGGACGCAGAGCGGCCGCACGGCGGGCAGGGGTCCCTGCGGCCACGCGCCTGTTCACGGAGCACGCGCCCTCCCGCTGGCTGAAGTCTAAGCTGGCGGCTGGGGACTCTGCTCCACGGAGGCCCGCTGCCCGCGGCCCCTGGGTGCTGCTGCGGCCTCCTGCAGGCCGCGTGGGCAGTTCGCAGAGACCCGGCTCTGCCCGGCACCCCAGCCCTGGGCCCGCTGGGCGCTGCCCCGGGGCAGCTCCCTCCTCTCGCCTGCTTCCCAGGCCTCCCTTCCTCCTGCACCATGGCCCTTCACGGCCCAGGTCGCTTTAGAGTTGCGGCCGCTCGGCCCCTTGCTGGCAGGAGGGCCGGCTGCGCGACCCCAGCCGAACGCCTCGCTGCTCCATGGCCCTTCCCAGCCCTGAGCGCCTCCGGGGGTTCACGCAGCTGCGGATGGGTCAGGCACAGCCCCCATTGCAACGGCTTTGCAGGGGCTCCTGCCCCCTACCCAAGGAGTTTCCCTTTGCCCAACCGGCACAGAAAAGCTGGGGAAAGGTTTGCGCTGTTTTCTTCAGTATTTTTCCAATTGCCTCTTTGGCTGCCTAACCACAGGAGCTAGAGCTCTTCCCCAGCACTGGGAACAGACGCTCTCCGACCCTTTGCTGAGAGCCACTGTGGCTGCAGATAGACCAGACTGAAGGATAAGCCCGGAGCCTGCCAAGAAGAGACCAGAGACATCACTCAAACCCGCAACATCCTAAAGCACAGGGCGTGCTGCGGCGGAGAGGTGCCAGCAGCCGCCCTTTGGGCACCGGGGTGCTCAGGTTAGCGCGCATCCCGCCCTACCCCATCACAGCTGTGCCCGTGGCCGGATGCTGCAGAGCAGGGTGCCCACCCACGGCACTGCCCGGCATGCACGGACACGGCCGGGCACCTGCAGAGCCCCCCCGGGCACCGCGCGGTGCCCGCAGCACGGCCGGCAGCAGCGCGAGAGACGCGGCCGCCCAGCTTGCCACCTGATTGAATTAGCTGCCCTGGGCTGTTCGCATTTCTATAGATTTGGTTGCTAACTCGGTTCTCAGGCTTGTTATGTTGTTGCTATTTTCGTGCGCCTGAAATGTGCAGGAAAAGGAATCTGGAGGCTCTGTCTCCTGCAGAGACAATGTTTGTGCTGACCCAGTTTGGGACACTGCAGAGCACATCGTCTCTGCCTCGGATTTTGGGAGGCAGCTCCGCCGCCTGCTCCCACTTCCATCTGCAAGAGCCAAAGCAAGACGGCACCAAGAGCCAGACTGCAGCCACACATCGCAGCAGCCGTGGGGCAGGAGCAGCTCCACCAAAGTTCGCCAGCACAAGGGAAGATATTTGGGTGTTTGCAGCCCCAGGATGCCCCACATGCTGAGATTAAAGCTCTTCCAGCGCTTCCGCTGTGCTCAGCGCAGGGCACTCCCCTCGTCCCAGAGCCCACAAACTGCCTGAACTCAGTTCCCAGGGGAACAAGATGAGCTCAATACAAACTGCCACTGTCCCGAACAACCCCTTGGTGGCCACTAAGCCGAGCAGACAGCAGATGTCCTCCACGCCCATGCAGGGGACCCCCATGCACCCGGCAGGACTCAGCAGCTCCACACATGCTCCCTCTTGCCAGCAGGCCCAGGACAACGCTCTGGGGCCAGGCTGTGGCTCCGCGTGAAACCCCTCGTTCATCAAACAGCCTCTCTGTGCTCTGAGGGCATCTGCAGAGGCCACACGGAGCAGGAGGGCCCATCTGAGCGCAGACTCACCTTGTTCTGCCTCGGAGCCGGCGCCGGATGCTGCTGCTTCGTGATGTTCTCAGCCAGACACCAGCAGATCCTCTTCTTCTGCTCCTGGGAGTAAGCCTCCAAACTTAATAAGCACTCCGACTTCTGACGTAAAGGAAACACAGGCAGAGGGAAGGTCATTAGCAGCGTGTGACAGGCCCCAGCTTTGTTTGCAAACTACTTGCTTCCACTGCGCTGCAGCAGAGGAGCGCAAGCACAACCGGAGCGCGTGCCCGAGCCTGCTCTCCGAGCAAGCGCAACGCATGGGCATCAGCCCCAACGCAGCGGGCACAGGCTGCCGTGATGCAGAGCAGCTGCTCTTGGCCCTAGGAAGCCGGAGCAGGTAAGACCCGGCCGGAGCAGCGATCCCACTGCAGCCTGCGCCACCGCAATGGGAATGCGTCTCTGAAGCCAATCTGGAGGGTGGAAATTACTCTTTGCTGTACGCAAACATTAATGAGAAGCCACAGCACGAACCACTGCGAGAACAACAGCGGCGGCAGCAGCGGCGGCGGCTTCGGGCTCGGCTGGTTGGGCTGCAAAGCTCAGGAGGAGCGACAGCCCCGCGTTTGCGCAGACGGGACGGGCGCTCCCTGCTCCCGCGGCGAGACGGGCACCTCAGCACCCTCCGCAAAACGCCACTCCAGCTCCGATCACACACCAGGAGCAGCACGTGGGGAGGAGGAAATCGAGGCAATGACAGGGGTTTACTGCAGCCACCTCAGGGCCCTTTGGGTCTGGCCACCTCTCCTGCTGCCCTATTCCCTTTGTGGCATCCACACACTGCCCACGGACCCGCTCCTTAACGTGCTGCTTTGGGCCACATCCCATGAGTTTAAATAAAATCCTTTGACAAAATGCCCTCAGCAAATGTCTCCCAGCCCTTGAACTGCTCATCTCTCATACTAAAAATTAAGCCCGAGTTAACAGCTGATGCCTGTTTCAGGGAGTCTACTTTTCAAAAGGAGTCCAGAAATGGTCCTCATCAGATTACCTCATTTTATGGCTAGAAGTGGAAAAAAAAAAAGACATGGAAGTTTAAAGAGGGACTGTTTGGAGGAAAAACAAACATACAAACAAAACAAAACAAAAAAACAGTCTTTTCACTAAAATGGCACAAAAAGGGCTTTTTTTTCCCCCTAGGATTTCCTTACATGAGGGCAGGTCTTGGCTAGCCAATTTTTCCCAGAAAGGTCATCAGCAAATGAGGGAACTTGCAGTTTGTGACTCAAGACACACAACACAGGCAGAACGGGAAATGCCTTTACTCACACCATTGACAGGGGTTTTTTTCCCCTCCAATTCATTCCCGACAATTCATTCATGTTTAATCCAAAGTTCCTGCCAAAAATGTAAACATGCCAACCTGGAGAGTCACCTAGTCCAGTTCCTTGTCCCTGTAAGGGTGCCTGCAGGCGAGGCCAGATTTGATATTCCAGATGTCAGTCCATGACCCTATCTAGTCCTACGGGAGAAATGGACTTCACCATTGAAAATGCAGCTCGGGCTTACTCAGATGTCACCAAAACGAAACAGTGGTTCAAGACTCAGAGGCACAAGGTGGTGGGGATTCTCCTTGCCCCACTGATGCCCTGAACATCCCCGGAGGGACTCTGAGCTCCATCCACTCCGTGACATCCCCAGTTCCCCAGGCCGTGCCACGCAGACTCATCCCTAGGAAGCTCCGCAGTCGTTCCGACTTCGGAGGGGAGGCCGTTTACAGCTCTGCCGTGCTGGGGTGACATTTCCTTGCCCTGCTCGCTGGGCAGAAATGAACCATTTTAAGGGCTCTTCCAAGTCCAAGAGACATCAGAGCAGATGAGAGAGCCTGGGGAGCACAGCAAAGCTGTAACCGGTACCCACCAAGCTCCTGCAACCCTCCTGCTGTGAGGCTTACAGCACTTCCAAGGACATTTCTTATCCCCTTTGACGCAACAGACTCACTTGATCCCGCCAGCAGATTCAATTACAGTCCCCATCGCTTTGATTGAATTCCTAAGTGATGCTCAGTCCCCAGCAGCTGCTCGGAGAGAAGGACCCTGTCCCCAGGTGCCAGGGCTGCCCGGACGGAGCTGCCCAGGGGATGCTGCGGCCACGAGAAGAGCTGCCCTCTGAGCCCCGAAGCAGAGGGGACAGTCAGCGTCCCCATTTTTCCCAACTATTCCCAACTATTTCCCATTTTTCCCAACTATTTCTCCCTATTCTAAGCGGGAGCTCATGCTGATGCATCTCCTGGCCATGAAGGGCAAGGTCCAGAGCTCTCCAGAGGCCAGCGCTCGAGCTGCAGCAGCCGGTGGGTCCCGGGCTGGAGGGCGTCCCCGCGTGCCAGGACGCGCTCTGGGAACCAGCCTCCCCGCCACTGTTTTTGTGGAGGGAGCTGCTGCTTTCCTGCCAACTCTTACCAAGAGAGAGCACGGTGCAACGGCGCGGCGCTGGCGAGGGGGACGCAGACGGCGCGAGGGGCTCGCTGCGAAGGCGGCGCCTCGGCAGACACGTTAGTGCAGGTGCCGGCTGCCAGGGCCTCCCCGGCACCCAAAAGGCACACGGCTGCTCTGGGTCCCCGTCACGGGGCAGAGCGTGACCACTGCTCCCTGGAGCAGAGCGCATCCCGGAGGACACGCGGGAAGGGTCACCGAGACCCCCGTGCCTGCAGACCAGGCGCAGACAGTCTGAGCATGACCCATCACAACAGCGATGGGAGCACGAGCGTGGCTCTACCCACTAGTACAAGGTAAATGCACAATAACAACGAACCAAACTCACCCCGGGACCTTCAAAGCCTCGGGCTTCATGACTAAACAACCACGGGGACTGTTCTAGTCTCACTGTCACAACAACCTCCCCTGGCACCCGCAGGGGTGCAGGGAGATGCCCAGTCCTCTGGGCCAGCTCAGGCAGATGCTGTTCTGCTCTCTTTCAACATAACCTTTCCACCCGCTTCGGCAGTGCCACCACCCTGGATGGCACCGCAGCATCAGTCAGACGCTGTGCCAAGAGCTGCTGCAAACAGCCTTGGATCAGCCCAACGAAGATGAAGTTTTCCAGCAGCTCTGTCTCACGGACCCCCGAGCAGGGACACACCGTCAGTATTAAGATCTGTTGGGTTTACAGCACGGGGACACAGGAACATGGGGACACGGCACCGCTCTGCACAGCCCGGCCCTTGGCCTCCAATGTTCAGAGCATTGGTTCTAATCCAATTCTAGCAGAGATCTCAGAGGGGAAGTACCTCGGAAACGGGCTCCAGACTACAATAGCTTTTAAATGGTGCAGCAAGCCTCCCTGGTGAAACGGCAAGCCCTGGGAATATCCTGTCCACAAAGCACGGGCAACTGCCGGCAGGTTATGTAACAACCCCCAGGGCTCGGGCTGGTGAGAAAGCTGCTGCACTGAGCGGTGCTCGAGGGCCTGGGGCTGCCGCTTCTTTTCCTGCAGTTTTTGGACTGTTGGGCAAACGGGTGATGCCCAAAAACACAAACGCTGGTGGCAGCGGCCCAGATCCTGTTCAAAGGATGAGAGGAGTGAATGCAGCTGAAGAGAACGGGCGTCTGAGCAGAAAACATGCATGGAGCTGCCAGGATGGATGGATGTGCTCTTCTGCCCTTGTGAAACCGAGGGATGGCTCTTGGGACAGGCACTTTTCATCCCTGTGCAGAAACTGGGCGAGCGGGAGAGGCGCCAACGCAGCGAGAGGGCCCTCACGTTTCACGCTGCAGGGCCACCCCGACCCAGCACAGCCGGGGTGCTCACAGCGTGGCCCTGGGAAAGGCGGCTGCCAGGGAGGGCGCGGGGGCAGCGCGGCACGAGGGAGCCCTTCCCCGTCCGCGAGGCCAGGGCCAGCCGCAGAGGCTGCTTGCCCTCTCCCTGCAGGGCTCGGGCTGCCTTTGCAGGCCACCAAGGTGTCTCCAGTTAGCTTGGTGGATGACAAGTGTTCACAGGAAAGCCCTGCTCTGAGACTAGCCAGGCGCAGGGCTCCTCGTGCAAACATCGCTCCAGTGGGCAGGTCCCCCGCCTTCCCCTTCTGCAAATGTCCCTGCCTGCCACGCGAGCCGGCTCTGCAAGCTGAGCTATGCCAGCGACAGCAATGCAGAGCTCAACGGGCACCGCTTGTATTTGCGGCCTGAAACACCCCTCAACTCTCGACAACCGGCTCCTGGAGCTGCAGGGAACTACCCTGCAGTATCAGGCCCTTTCTCAAACCTCACCAACACTTCAATCACAACATTTGAGCTGCTCTTCTTCACAAAACCTGGGAATTGTGACTGCAGAATCGGGGCCACGATAAAACGTTTCGGAAAGAACTTCTGCTCCAAGAACTCCAGCAAGTCATTTCAAAAACTCAAATTTAGGCTGAGCAGCTTGAAGATGCACAAAATTGGGGCACAGAGCTTACCTTAGAGTTAAATGCCTGTTCATCTAGTCCCGCGCTGCTGAGTGACCAAAGCAGCCGCAGACCAGCCCTGCCTGCTGTGCTGAAGAGATGTGGCCTGGGAGCTGCCCCGGCCCCGGGCGCTGCCCACGCCGCAGCCGTGGGGAATGCCAAGCTCTGCCCGTTCCTGCTGTTCCTCATCACCCACCCTGGGCAAACACACACGTGCCGGCAGAAGCAGCAGCACGCAGGGGCAGCTGCGCAGCGGGCAGCCCTGCCACCCGCCCCGGAGCCATCGGTTTGCAGGCCTTGGCTCAGGCAAAACATCAGCAGATCTGGGGACATCAAACATCAAAACATCTGGGGACAGCACCTTCAGAAGTCCCTGCGAAGGCGCTGGCCGCATCACTCTGGCCCTCCTTGCCCAGGCTGAGGCTGCAGCTCCAACGCCTCAGCAGCTGGTGCTGCAAACCCTGTGGCTGCTACCTGCCAGCCGTAGGGGCAGGGCAAAGAGACGCCCCATCTTGGGAGGGGTTCATCATGGCCTCGGCCTGGCGCACGGAGAGGCTCAGCCTGCGGCCCGAGCAGCCGGACACGCGCGGGCCGGAGCGGCTGGCGAGGGCAGCGCCGGACGCGGCCCAGAGCCGAGCGACCGGCCAGAACAGGCCGGGAATGCCACAGAGCAAGAGGGGTTTCTTCAGCTTGGTGACATCTTGAGACCACTACAGCCCAGGGG